CAGTGTATTTTTCAAATGTAAAAAGTGCCTAAAAGGTCCGTCAATATTGAGTTGTGATAATTGTCTCAAAATCGAACAGGTTCGTAGTATTAAGTATTTAGGGCTGGAACTAGATGAAAATCTTACGTGGAAACCACATATTCAGACAATCAAAAAGTATATGTATATGGTCTTCAGTAAACTCTACTTGTTAAAATATGTCTGTCCTCCGAATATTCTGAGAACCGTTTACTTTGCCCTTGCCAACAGTAAGCTTCAATACGGGATAGTTCGGGAGGAGTGTATGTAAGTATCGTACGTCCAATTATTGTCGCTCAAAAAAAAGCTGTTAGGCAAATATCAGGAATTCTAAGATTTGAGCATTCTTTTCCCCATTTTTAGTCTCTTGGAATTCTCCCAATCAGACATCTCTACATATTTAGAGTGTTACGTATATTTTATCTGAGGGGTGGTCAAAAAGTAGGTAATTCTCTAGTCTACTCATCTAGACTAAAATCTTTGAATAGAGTAGCCTTACCAAGACCCTCGTGTGAGGCTTTTAAGCGGTTTTATGTATACAATTGTGTAAAATTCTACAATAAACTTCCATATTCGATCACTAGTTTAAATAGAGTGACAAATTTTTTAAAAGGATTAAAAACGTGGCTGTTTACTTTTAGCCACGAAACTGTTGAATGTTTTTTCTAGTATTATGTTTATTATAGTTTCCTTATATTATATAAATATTTTTTTTTAAGTTTGAGCACATCTAATAATGCTTGTAAAATTAGCACTAGTATAATGTAGGTATAGTGCGATGAAGCAGTCTTACATTCTGCCATTTAACTAATGAATTAATTATTAATTATTCCAGTATTAACTTTTATTTAAATTTTGTATATAGTATGTTGGTATTGCTGCTGGGGAGCAGCCACGTTAGTCATTTTCTCATTTTCAATTATGAAGGCAACCTCAACACAGCTAATGCTAATGAGGTGCCTAGCTGTAATCAATAAAATTAGTGTCTATTGACTGTAAATTTGGTTGTGAAATTTTCTTGTTTACAGTAATAAATTATTTCTATTTCTATTTCTTATTGAGAAAATTTCACTAGCGAGTATTTTTAGTAGGCGACAACAGGGATCTGATTTTTAATTAAAAAATACAAAGTTTTCGCATTTTAATTTAAAGCCATCTTCATACACAAACTTGACGTTTCGTGTAAAATTTAAGACAAAACTCATCAGTAAATTGACATTACTTGACTCGGAAATTAAAGTACTACAAAGGAACCCCGCACTTCAATATTTCCCCGCCAGTAATGTGTCATTTTCCACACTTTTAGGTAAATAACTATTAATCTCCATATTATGGATTCTTTGGTTATACGAGAACGGGTCAAATGAAAGTGAGCCAACCCACCCTGCGCAATAATGGTTCGGTCCATCCTCTGCGACGCATGCGCGTAGCACACAGGCATCCCTAATTTACGAAAGTGACGTAAAAGTGTGACGTTAAAGTTCTTTAGTGCGCTCATACACCGTGCTTAAGTCGTTAGTGTAACATAATGGACGCTCCAAACGAGGAACAGCGTGGTGTGGTCCGGTTTTTGACTTTTTTTTCGATCATCAGGGGCTATTACTGATCGAATTTGCTAAACCTGGAGAGACTATCAATAGTTCGCGATATTGTGAAACACTGGATAGGTTGTGTCTCGCAATCAAGAACAAACGACCTGGAAAATTGACGAATGGCGTGATCTTGCTACACGACAATGCCCGCTCCCACGTTGCTGATGTGGTTAAGTCAATACTGGAGAAGTTCAAGTGGGAAACGCTTCAACATCCTCCATACAGCCCGGATTTGTCGCCTTGCGACTTTCACATTTTCGGAAAACTGAAAAACCATCTCAAGGGTACCAGATTCGTGTCGGACGATGCCGTGAAGTAGTCTGTTACAGACTATTTGAACCAGCAGCCCAAGGAATTTTATGAGAAGGGAATAACGCGGCTCGTTAGTCAATGGGACAAATGTCTTAATGTTCATGGAGACTACTTTTAAATAAAGTACTTTGTTTGTCATTTATTTGCATTGGCTCACTTTCATTTGACCCGTCCTCGTATTAATAATGAAGATCGTTCTAGATCTAGGCTTTACTATTTGTAATTAATCTAACACATAGAATGGTATCAATGAACTTCACAATTAATAAACAAAATCACCAAAATCTTTGGTTTAGGTTGGCCCCTTCAGAAATTTTTTTAATGCAAAATCATTTACATTTATCGATGCGTCGAGGTTTTCTCCAATTGACGGTTGATTCTCTTCTTTTGAAAGGCAGCGCAAATTCAGAAAATTGGATGGTGGAACGTCCCGTGCACTGCAATCAAACCTATTATGTCGCTTGGTAAATTTAAGTGCTCGTAAATTAATGCTGAGAGATGGTTCCTTGGAAGGTTCACTACCGCAACTCAAGAACTAGCTGGGAATCAGGTTTCTCAAAGTTTAATAACAATGTTCTGCAGTAGAGAAATGTCAAAATTAACCGTATAACTTAGGGTTTTTACAGTCAGAAACAGCGCCAATTAATTGTCTTTAAATCTTTTACCGATTACCGTTTTATTCAGATTCTATTAACACCCCGTATACACATGACAGGTGCGCAATTTTGATTGATGAACATGTTTTTTATCGTCTAAACGCGTTAAACATGGTGTACTTTAACCACAATTCTACATCCAACATATATTTTGATTATTATAATAGTGGTGTTGATGGAGGGAACAGAGTATTAGGGGTATCATAGAATACATTCATATTTCTTCCTATTCTACCCTTCCCAGACGACTTTGGGTATTTTGTGATACGTTTTACTTTTAAAATATCACTCTGCATACAATTTTACCCTTGTACCAAGACGATTTAGTCAGATCATCAACTGGATGCCCTATACCATTATCACTAAGCGTGCTTTAGGTTTTGTGCCATCGACAAATTTGAATTTACTTCATTAAGTATTTGTAAATCACTGTTGGAATTTAAATTTTAATAAACACCCTATAATTTGCACGATGGATAAATCCATTTAAATAAGCCGCAAAAGAGGGAGACCAATACTTCACAAAAAGCGTTCCGTGTTGAATTTAATTGACACTTGAATTTAATCGAAATTATGTAATTTGAAGTAGGTAACTTTGATTTAGATATATGTACTTTATCTGCCTACGTTAAATAGAATTCTCTATGCAATTAAGACAACCTTAGAAATAATCAGACTAATTACGCGTGTGATGTTAAACACAAATATTTAATATATGAAATATATTTAAAATAAAATTGATAAATTGTGATACAGATAGATCTATTTTTAATTTTTGTTAGATTATGTCATTTAAGCGAGTCATGTCCCAAAAGCTTACATTGAGCTTTGAGTTAGGCTGTTTATTTATAAAATACTTTAGTTTCAGTACACCTACTCCAGAATATTTTGGGACAAGTAGACGTTACTTACGATACGATGAAAATTGAAAGCCTCGCCTAAATATGAGTGAAATTAGGTCGTGTATAACTAAAGGTAGACTTAATTAAATTCCATTTTCATTACACGTGTTAACAGGTGTATGAATGATTACTTCGTTTGCTCGCTTTTGCAAACAGCGTACAATGTTCATTATTATTATTAAATTTGTAATTAGAAATGCTAGTTATTAGATCATAAGCATAACCTAAGTTTATTTGATTGTAGGTCAGAAGACAATTCCATGTAACGGAGCAGCCATACACTTTACATAAACTTTGACAATGTCTAAATTATTTAACTCTGATCCTCGACAATAAATAAATTAAATTAAAAATTAAATTAAATGAAAATTTGTTTGGTTAAATGTTACTGAGACTTTGCCCGTTTTTAAACTTACAATGTATCCTTCCGCATATTACAATGAAAAAGATCGAAAAACAGTTAGGTACGTAAAATACCCGCTCTAGTTACAGATCTTGTCCGGGGCTACCACACTCCCTTTGTCGGTACCCATTTCGGACGTCTCGCTCAGGCGCAATTCGCATTTGAAATTTTGACTCGACCATTCATAAAATATTGTCGGGGGTTACTACATTCCCTTTGTCGGTACCCACTTCCGGCGTCCCGTTCACCTGCAATTCGCATTTTGGCGGATTCCGCTATAAACCCTCCACAAAATAGTACTCAATTTTTGGGGCTCTTCTCATAGCTCGAGCTTCTATTGCCGACACGAGACTAGAGCTTTATAAAACTTGTGCAGAAGAAGATAGGAAAATACTAAAAAATCACCACGTTTGTAAACCACTCTCGGGGATGTCGTCCCTAAAGTTGTTAATTACACGGCCCGGTTAGGTACACGAACACTCCTCGTCTTTCTAAAAGCGTTATTTTACGGGATCATTTGCCTTCAGCCAGTCAGGCGACCAAACTGAGATTAAAAGCTAGCTTTCACAAATCAATCTGAAAAAATGCGCTAAAAAACGGATACGATGTATCTTTGGCGTTCAGAAATGGAGTTCATAAAATGCTTGTTACAGCTGCATTCATAGAATTGAACGAATCTTCATTTTATACCAATGCAATTCCACTGGTTAAACGATTATTTTTGTAAGTCTGGAACTGTTTGCACATCAGACAGTAAGGTCCAATGCTGAATGAAAAATTGCTCAGGCGTCTAATTTTTAAAATGATAATTTCTTTTTCTTAAATTAAGGTAATTTTTAAAGATTGTTAAATTTGACTCACAGATAATTGAGAATGCAACTGTTTCCATTAAATTTAAAGGAGGAAGATAAAGGCGATCTTGATACTAGTTACAAAGTTTGGATCTACATCTTATCCAAACTACAACTTGATTAGATTAGTAAGCATACTTTGTTAACCGGAGTACTATAAAGCCTGTATAAGAATCAAATTAAATTGGAATAAAATTCCTGAGAGGATTAATTAATAAATTAGTCTGGTTTCGAACTGCCTGAAGGGATTCCAATGACAAAATAGAACAATTTCTTCAACGAACTGCAAATTACATCGGAATCGGAGTTATTGAGTGTGAAAGAATAAAATAAATTCCTTTAGGGAACGGCATAATTGAAGTTGTTTTTGTATGAAAAGTCTGATCTAAACATAAATACGAGCGGGTTTTGGATTAATAAGCATTCAGTTACATTTGGAATATATTACACTATGTCTGCTTCAAGATTTAATTTTAGGTTTAAGTACCTACTTGACTCTATTTGTAGAAATGTTGAACCGAGTAGATAATGATTCCAACAACCCCTCAATTGTTTCGTAATTAGGGGGACTAATTCAATAACGCGACCATGTGATGGAGAGTTGTGTCCTGCGTCTATAATTTTACTTCATTCTGTTTCCCTACGTCTTTGCACAATTTCAATTGGAAAGGCAATGATCAAAATTCTCGTCGAATTCTTTCATTTCAAGCTCTAGTAACTCTGTCCCCGTGCAGATATTATTACCAGATTACGATAAATTTTTCAATACTTTGTTCGCAGTCACATACCTAACTAGATAATGATTAGAGCAACACAAAGGACTCGTGCTTTGGAAGCTAAAATGGAGAAACTAAGTATGAACGAGGCGTAGTGTCACATTATTAGTTTTTGGACAGGTATTGGAAAGAGCGCTAAGAAGCCGAATATTGTTCCGGTCCTTCAGAAACCTGAGTATGGTACAGGAAGTATATACAGACTTACCGAAATCTAAATTGCTCGTCTCACACGGACCGGTAATCAAAAGTAGGAGCTGATGAATCATTTTTTTCACATATTTGTTTAGTATCTCTCATTTGAGGTCTTACGCTTCGTCTTTTAGCGCGATGAGAGCCCTACCTTTAAGGAGAAACGGTATACTCGTATGTAATGTAGATGCGTAATGCGTATTATTAATTCAATTCAAACAAAATCTATTACTTTTGAAGAATTCTCTCGAAAATCCACATCGAAATTTATATCTAAAATATCAAAATCTCCAGACGCCAAGTAATCATGTGAAATCTATGCACTTGGAACGCGATTTCACGTTTAAATGGAAACACTACATAAACATTCAGAAGAATAATTTAATGTCTTTCAAGAACGTTTATTGTTTGCGATATAAGTAAATTGAATTGTATTTAGTCTTAATCTTAACATCGATGTCGAAGTGATAATTCCGCGCTTATGTTAGAAATGTGTAATAAATTTACATGTTATGAATGTCAGCACAAGTAAGCAGTAAATTAAAACTAACTGCTATAAAATCATCGTGAATTAATTACGTAATTAAATTTCTGTTACAATGTTTCAAGAATAAGTTATGGGTGCCTAGGTGTTCACTTCGTTGACATCGATCCTGCGTTTATTATTATGTTGGTTTTTACTTAATTCTTAGTTTCTTACTCATACGCAGTAAAACAATGGTTTAACATAAATGGGAACAAGTTCATAGACTGGAGTTCGTATGATAATTAATTATGGTTTAACTCATTTGAAAATTTAAATAACTTTCCCAATTTAAGCGTTGTTGAATTACACATACCGTAGGAAGCTTAAATTTATACTTTATAGTTATTAACGTCATAAGGCCGATATGTAGCAAATAACGGACGTGGTTGAAGTTTGTAAACCGAGGCGTCAACCGAGGTTTATATTCAACCAAGTCCGTTATTTGCGTATCGGCCGTATGTCGTTCAAGATTTTTCGTCATCCCATCATCTGGAAATTATATATTTACACTTCATAAAGATCCATCTTTTCGGAATAGTTAAATATAATAATTATCTTGATCATGGTATGCTTATGGTCACATGTTAGCGGTTGTCATGGACGCAACTGCTTAACGCAACTAAACAATTCGTTAAAAACGCGTGCTGAGAAGCTGTACGACGTTTTTCC